CCCCCCCCGGGACTCCCCAGACCCCAGGACGGGCCCCATCCCCGGTCCCGACCCCCGGGACCCCCCCGGAACGGCCCCTCAGGTCCCTCCGCCAGAGGGCGCCCCCCACACACACCCCGCGCGCGCGCGCCCCGGACCCGCCGCCACGGCCTCGCTCCCGCGCGCAGCCGCCGTCGCTATGACAACGGCGCGATGCGCCGGGAGGGGCGGAGCCAGACCAGCCCGAGCCCCGCCCCTCCTCCGAGCCGAGCGCAGGCGCACAGCGCGCGGGGCGGGGTGGGCGCGGTTCCTCAGGCCGCGCCCGCCTCGCAGACGCCACGCCCCCTTTCCGGAATGGGCGGGGTTTTGTGAGCCCCGCCTGGGCGTGGTGCTCCTCTAACGCGCATGCGCTGATTCCTGGGGGCGGAGCCCTCGCCCCCACCCCTGGGGCGCGGCTGAGAGGCGTGTCCAGTGCTGCGCGTGCGCAAAAGCCACGCGGGATCCCCGAGGGCGGAGCGGGGCGTGTCTTGGGGCGCATGCGCAAAGCAGGCTGTGCCCGCCCCGGGCTGCGCATGCGCAAAGGCAGAGGGGCAGGGCGGGGCCAGGGCTCGAAAGAGGCGGGGGCATCGTGCGGGGGCGGGGCCAGGGCGTTGGGGCGGGACCGGGGCGCGGGGGGCGTGGCTTGTCCCAGTACGGGGCTGCTGGGACCAGTACGGGACCTACCCGCACCAGTACGGGTGTAGCAGGACCAGTATGGGACCAGTACGGGACCGACCCGCACCAGTACGGGCGTGCCCGCACCAGTACGGGACCGGACCGGCCCAGTATGGGGGTCCCAGGACCAGTACGGGACCGGACTGGCCCAGTATGGGGGTCCCAGGACCAGTACGGGACCAGCTCGGCCCAGTACTAGGAGGGCTGGCCCCCAGTGTGGAGCCCCCACATCCCAGTTTGAAGGACCCTGTCCCAGTATGAGCCCTCCCACATCAGTATGGGGACCCCACCCCACCAGTTTGAGGGGACTCCTCCCAGTATGGAGCACCCCCACACCAGTTCCCACAGGGAATAACTACAGAAAACCCCCAATTCCCCCTGAATTCCCCCAAAACAACCCCATGGGGTCCCTGCCCTGTGCAGGCAGTGCCTGATCTTTGCTCCCTCTTCCTCCTCAACTCTCCTGACATTTTTATTTCCTATTTTTTCCAGTTTTTTGGCCGGTTTTGGGCCACTTCAGCCCGACATCCCCTCCAAATTTAGGGGAAAAATATTCCAGTCAGCCTTTTCCTCCCATCCCCGATGGCTCCAGGAGAGGAACAAATAAAAACCCCCCACCTGGGTCAACATTTCTTTCCTAAACCCTCTCCAGGGGGGTGTTTTCCTGCCTCAATAGATGGGAGGACGTAGTGGAAAACTGAATTCCTTCCCCTCACAATCACCCAAACCATCAAAATCAAGTTTCAATGAATGAAATATTCCAATTAAAATGTTTCCAGAGGCATCGGAGCTGCTCTCCAATGGAAACTTTTTATGGATCATTTATTCTCTCCTTCCCAAGAGCAAAGTGCCAGGGGAGGGGAGGAATTCCTGGCTCACCTTCCCTGCGGGAATTGGGATTGTTGTGGGCTCTGGAATGTCGGTGCATCCCAAGGAAGGGGTTGGGGGCAGGGATGAGTAGAAAGGGGGGAACAATCACCTTCTTCCCCTCCTCTCCCCCCACCAGTGGGATTGTGCAGCCACTTCCAAGGAAAACTGTTCACCAGGATGGAGCCAGGGTTGGATCATCGCCAGGAGAGCCCTTGGGGGGAGCGGGATGGGAGGTTGTGTTTGGGCTCCCCAAAATGTTGTGTTTGGGCTTTTGGGAGGCTTTTTTTCCCTTGTTTTTGTGTCCCTCAGGGACATCTGACACCCCCTTCCCCCGGGAATCATGGAATCCCAGGCAGAGGCACCTCCCACTATCCCACGGGGATCCAACTCGGCCTTGGATACTTCCAGGGATGGGGCACCCTCTGGGAAATCCATTCCAGGGCCTCCCCACCCCCACAGGGAGAAATTTCTTCCCAAAATCCCATCTAAGTCTCCCTTTTCCCAGCTGGAAGCCCCTCATCCCTCATCCCATCCCTCCTTGTCCAAAGTCCCTCTTGGAGCCCCCAGAGAAGGAAAACACACTTGAAAGGTCTTTCCAACCCGAACTGTTCCCTGATCCCATGGAAATAAAGAGGTGGGAATGCAGGAAAAGCTGCTCCAATCTGGAATAATTGAGGGGAAAACCATGGAATCATGGAATGGTTTGAGTTGGAAGGCACCAAAAGCCCATCCCATTCCAGGGACATCTCCCACCATCCCAGGGGCATCCAACCCAGCCTTGGACACTTCCAGGGATCCAGGGGCAGCCACAGCTTCTCTGGGAAATCCATTCCAGGGTCTCCCCACCCTCACAGGGAGGAATTCCTTCCCAGTATCCCACCTATCCCTGCTCTCTGGCAGTGGGAAGCCATTCCCTGTGTCCTGTCCTTCCATTCCTTGTCCCAAGTCCCTCTCCAGCTCTCCTGGAGCTCCTTTTTGGGTGGTTTGGAGAGGTTTTGGTGTGTTTTTGGGGTAATTTTGTTGGGGTTTTGGGGTGTTTTTATAGTGATGCTGGGGTGATTTTGGGGGTATTTCTGGGGAAGAATGAACCCCTCTTGCATCCCTGCACAATTCCTGGTTCCTGTGCAGCCACAGGGATGGGAGGGAGAGCAGAGCAGAGCCAGGATCTGGCCCCCATTCCCTTGTGCAAGGTGGATGGAGGGCAGGAGAGCGGCAGGAAAGCCACTGGAAGCAGCTCCAAGGTCGGGACAGAGGGAGGAAATCAAACCCCTCACCAGCCACAAGCCTCCCCCATCGCTTGGGGCTGTGGGAAAAGGTGGGGTTGGCAACAGGGGAGGTTTTTGTGGGATTGAGGAGTTTTGGGAGACATTTGAACACTGAAACACAACCCAACAGAGCCGGGACGGGGATGTGCAGCTTCTCCCGGGCCGAGTCACCCCGGTCCCACCCACAGCCCCTCTCCCCCCCCCCCCCAAACCACTTCTGCGCCACTAAATTGTCTCTAATGAGCTCCCATTTCTTCCCAGACGTTGTTTTCCCTCATTAAACCCATTTGAAAACAGTTGTGAGGCTCTTTAGGCATCATCCCCACGCAAACAGGAGCTGCTGAACCTGCTGCTCGGGGCGGTGATTGCTCTGCGTCGGGGGCTCATTTTCTTCCAGGAATTTTGGGTTTAGGGGACACTTGATCAACCCTGGGGCTTTCTGGAAGCATTTCTCGCTGGTTCATTCAGCCCTGCTGATGGCTGCATCCCAGATTTCAGGGGGTTTGAGGGTGGAAAGGGGAAAAACTGCCGAACACCCCAAGTTTTTTAGCCTGGGGGTGCCCAAGTGATGGAGCAGCTTTGGGCTGGGGCTGCAAAACCTGAAGTTGCTCAGCCCAAACCCCCACAAAGTTTGACTCACATCACCAGTAACGGGATTTTGGAGGGTCAGGGGCGGTGTTTGTGACCCATCTTTGTCCCAAACACTGACAGGTCCTGCAGGAGCAGCCGGATCCAGGTGTCCTGTGGGTCCTTGGTCCCCAGGGATGTGAAGCCCTGGGCTCTATGGGGCCACTTGGAGCAGCTGGAGGGCTTTGACTGTTGTTTGCAAAAAAATTTCACTCAGTAAAAAGATGTTCCCAGAGCCTTTTACGGGATCAAGACCTTCCAATCAGACTATCAAACCACGTGGGTGTTGAGCTGTTTGGTATCTGAGCCTTAATCAAAGGTGACAACAGCCCAAGCACAGCACCTACAGGGGAGGATTTTCAGTCACAACATTCACTGTGCAAACCCCAAAAAGTTGATCCAAAACCAGAGACAGTCAGGTTTTTATTCAGAGACCGACTGACACCTTTGCTCAGGGTTCAACACTTTCACACCAGAATCCAAACTGGATCTTTGGTTGGGGTATCAAGCTCAGTGCTTCCACTCATGGAGACAGATGAAGAGGTGTTGTGTGCATTTATCCCGAATTTTTGTCTTCAGGGAGGACAGTGGGGGCTGAGAGGAACGAAGCACAAATACAAGGAAATGAAATGGCTCTATAAAACACCCTATGGGGAAAAAAATAGTGCCACAAGTAGAGCTCAATGCCTCCCCACAGAACCAGCCCGTGCTGAAAACTCTGGGTCCGAACAATAAAAACAGCAAATATTAATTGTGTGCATAATATTGATCCTTTCATCCTAGAAAATCCTAAAGCCCCTCACAAGCACTAGGCACAGGAATCCATGGAACTCCAGCAGGGACGTGCCAGGACCCCTGGGAACACTCAGGAGCTCTCTCCAGGCTGCCGTCAGAGGGGGGGTCTGCAGGGCACGGGGTCGGGCCCCCCCCCCAAAATGAGAGGAGGGGGCCGAGCCCAGCGGGCAGGAGGGAGGGGTGGGTTTGCCAGGGCATTCCCGGGATGGGGGAGACCCCCCCATAACCCCCTTCGTGCCCCTGAGACCTTCCAATCCTTCCCCACAGACGCCCCGAACGGCCCCGAGGACCCGGAACGGCCCCTCCGGGGGAGCCACGTGCGATCTCCCGCCACACCCCCGGCCACGCCCCCCGTGGGCGGGGCCGCGCCCGCCGCCAACCCTACATGGTGCTGGTGGGCGGGGCCGAGGCTGTGCCGCGCTGGCATTGGCGGGGCGGGGCCGAGGGAGGCGTGGTCACGGGGGGGCGTGGTCAGAGGGGGCGGGGCGAGACCCGCCGGTTCCCGTCAAAAGGCGGCACCGGGAAGGTGGGGGGGGGCGGCGGTGCCAGGAACGAAGGTACCGGGGAGGGGGCACCGGGAGAGCTGATTTGGGGCAAACCCCCGCTCCGTGCCCGGTCTCGGGGGCGATCGCGGCTGGGGCGGTCACCGGGACACGAGGGGCGGCTGTTCCTGCTCCAACCGGGGGGACCTGGGTGGGTGCGGGTGGCACCGGGAGATTTGGGTGAGGGGGGCCGTGGGTGCCCCCCCCGTGATCGAAGGGACACGGGCACGGGGCACTCCCGGGTGCCCGCTGTCCTTCTCCCTCCCGGTTGGAGAGTCCCCGGGGAAGGGGTACGGGAGGTGCCCGGGGTTGCTCCGAGGTTTGGGGTTCCGGGGGAAAGGTACGGGAGGTGCGCGGGGCTGCCCCGAGGTTTGGGGGTCCCGGAGTACGGGAGGTGCGCGGGGCTACCCCGAAGTTTGGGGTCCGGGGGGGGGGGGCGGGGGGTGCGCGGGGCTGCCCCGAGGTTTGGGGGTCCCGGGGGAGTGTTGAGCCTCCCTGGTGAGCTCCGTGTGCTCCCTGGTTTGGGGTCCCACGTGAGCACGGGGTTCCCGCTGTTCCCCAGCCGGGTTTTGGGGGTCCTGGGTGTGTTTGAGCCCCCCCGGTGCTCTCTGTGAGGGGTTCGGGGGTCCCGTGTGAGATCCCCCTCCTGCCCACTGCCTCCCCTCGGCTGGAGGCTCTCAGGGCTGTTAAGGGCTTTCCCTGCCAGAACGGGGTCCCCGTGAGGGTTGGGGGTGTCCTGTCCCTCTCAGCCTGTCTGTGGCTTCTGGGGGTGGCTCCTGGTTTTGGGGTCCCCACAGGGCTGTCCAGGCTCAGCTCTGATCACCCTTTGCTGGGCTCAGAAATGAGGGTTCACCCTGGAGATTTGGGGTGCCCTGGGGTGGGGGGTGAGTGTGTTGGGGGTGCTTTCCTCTCCCCCCTAAATTCTGGCTGATTTTACCTTTCTGGGCTGGCTGGTGATTCCCTCTGGGGTTGGGGTGAGGATGGGGATGAACTGGACCCAGTCACGTGCCCCACGTTGGTGTGAACCCCCATTTCCCTCTCTGAGCCCCTTCCTGAGCTTCACCACGTCGTGGGAAGCCACCCCCGTCCTTCTCCCCACGTCCCATCCCTGTCTGTCCCCTTTTTGGGGGGCTTTGAAGCTTGTGAATTCCCTGGGTGCTCTTGGGGTGTTAACTGGTGGCTTAGGGTTTCCAGCCTGTTCCTTACCTGGTCTCTGACTCAGAGAAGTGCCCAATTAATGATCAGCTTTCGATGCATGTTAAAATTAACCTCCCAATTCAGTATTTTTTGGGGCAGATTGGGGGGGCTCAGACCCCCCAGTGGCACTAATTGTACTCTGTTTGTAATTCCCAGTGACTTTCCATCCGTTGGAGGTGGGACTGCCTGGATCAGTGAGTTCCCAGCACAAAGAAGACAAAGGTAGGAGGGGAGGGGGTGTCTTCCTGAAGCTCCTACATGAGGACCTGGAGGTCCTTCCCCGGGTCAGGACTGAGCCCCCCAACCTTTGGGGAGTTGTGGGGGGCTGGTGAAGGGCAGGTAGAGTGGCTGTTTTCTGAGCTGAGCTGCTCCTTCCTCTTGGTTTCCTCTCCCCCCAACCCCCCTTTTTCATTTGAGCCCTTCAGCAGTAAAAGTTTCTTCAGAAAGTGGTTTTCAGGAGAAGCAGCGTTTTTGTGGCGTGTCCTCCTCCCACAGAGCCTGGGCAGTGACTCATCTTCCTCCGAGCCCTGGGTTAAAGAGCACCAGCCATGGCGGGGACACGTGTGTCTCCTCTCAGGGGAGGCAGACAGACAGACACAGACAGACACCTCAGTGTCCTGTTCCTCTTCCTCTTCCTCGGTGCTTCCTCCTGGGTGATGGTCGGGAGGAATTTTTAACCTGCTCGGGGAGGGGGGGGAAGGAAGTCGAGGCTGTAATTACTCATTTGAATAAAACCTCTTCTGCCTTCCCTGAAGATGTTAAAACAGAGTTAAACCAGGCCTGGGGGGGGTGTTTAAAACAGAGTTTAGTTGGGTCTTCTTGTTGTGCTTGTGGAAGTGGGTTTAACTGGGGGGAGAGAGGGGGGGAAAAAGTGCCAGGCTGAGGTTGGGCAGCTCTGTGCTGGGAGTACATTTGGACAAAACACAGAACTTCAACTTGAAATTTCAGTTCGTAAAACATTTCTGGCAGGGAACTTAATTTGTATTTTGTGATAGCACCTAGTACAGGAAAATCACATTCCTAACTGGGAGCTTCTAGTTGTTATACCATGACATATATTACAATAGGATATAATGCAATAGCTTTCTTTATTGGCACGGCTTGGCCACCCACCCCTGTGGCACCAGGGACCCGAGGAAGAGGAGAGAGGAAGGCCTGGCAGGTGCAGGAAGCATCTGTCCTGTCTGCCCGGGGTCTCCCAGGGTGTGAACAGATCACTTGGGAGATCTCCCAGTGGAGAAAGGCACAAAAAATAGGTTTTTCACCAAGCAAAGGATGTGCCTCGGGTCAGTTGGGTGTTTGTTCTTTCCCCCCTCATCCCACTTAAGATGAAATAACTGGATAATCCAACCTCTTCCTGCATTTAATGACTAACCCTGGGGAGCTGCTGCCCCTCGCTCTCTGTGGCCAGAGGTGCTCTCAGCAGTAATTTTTAACCTCCTGTGGCTGAGCCAAAGCAGAGCCAGCCCGGCCCAAACTTTCTGGGGCTTGGGGAGAGGAAATGCTGGAATGGAGGGAAAATCCCTGCTCAGATAGACCCCCTTTAACTGGAAGGTGAGACATTTTCACCTGCTGGTGTCGAGGGAGCAAACATGGGATGCAAACATGGGGAGGAGAGGCAGTGGTGTGGACTCACAGCAGTTTTGTAAAGCTTGGGATTAAAATATGACCACTCCCCCCCCCAAAAAATGAGAGGAATGCAAATGGAGCCACTGCTTAAAATGAATATTTTGACCTACAATCGATGGCTGAGCATTAAGGTGTTAATTCTGTGTATAAATTAATGTATTTGTTAATATAATTAATAAGTTGATATAAAAATATTAATAAATTAATACAAATCATATATCTATATATAAATATAATTAATCAATATATATCACAAATATCAATATATATCAATATGATTAATCAATTGATATAAATTTATTTATTAATATAATTCATAAATTAGTATTCATTCCTAGAAATAAATTAATATAAATGAATAAATTAATGTGCTGGTTCTGTGCATAAAATAATATCGTTATTAATATAATTAATGAATTAATAAAATATTTATTAGTATAATTAATACATTAATATTAATTTATTAATATAATTACTAAATTATTATAAGGTCATCAGAATAATATAAAATAATATAAATTAATACATTAACATAGATTTATTATTATAATTACTAAACTAATATAAGGTCATAAGAATAATATAAAATAATATAATTAATAAATTAATGTGTTAATTCTGTATATAAATAATGTGTAAATCCCTGTGGGGAGAATCCCTCTGGTTTGGGCTTTTTGAGTTGTATTTTGGCTCTGGAGGGACAACTGGAGGCCCAGCTGAAAACGGACTTGGAGAAGCTCCTTGTCCCAGGTCCCTTCCAGCTGAGCTGTTCTATCTAAACATGAAAACTGCCTTTTTTTTTGGACAAGAGCCGTGTGCTGGTGCCTGGGGGGCAGCCCCAGCTCGTGCTGCCGGGGCTGGCGGAGGGAATGGTTTAAATCAAGGTCTGAGGGGAGCAAAAGTCCGGGGAGACGGGGAAGGTGGAGACTCTGAGGCTTTAAAATGGAGCTTCTCGGGGGTGACCTGAGGAAGGAGAAGCCGTGGCTGGGGGGAAGGGGCCTCCTCCTCCAGCCAGGAGAGCTCAGTGTGGGGCAACAGGGCGTTCCCAGCGCCCCTGACCAGCTTCCAGCTCCATCTCCAGCTGCTGACTCAGCTGCTCCTCGGGTACAGCTCCCTTATCTGGGGTGGTTAACCTATCAGCACAAACCTCGCCTCGTGCCAGCCGGGCTTTGCCTCTAATACATGGAAACGGGGTGTAAAAGTGATGAAAAGCAGTACTTGGGACCTTTATCTGTCCACCTGAAGCCGTTTCCTCATTGCCAGGAATCCATGGTGTCTGCCCGGGACCTGCTGACGTGACTCCTGAGTGACTCCTGAGTGACTCCTGAGCTCCCCGGGTCACCGGGACGCCGGTGAGTGACTCTCCCGTGCTGGTCACCGAGTCCTCCTGCCTTCCTGCCCTTTCTCCCGAGGAGTTTTTGCTGTTTTCCCGAGGGTTCCCACCCCAGAGCCCGTGTTGTCCCCGTGCTGTTGCCTTTTCACCCCGTCTGGGAATGTCGCTCCGCTCCCGGCTCCCGTGGAGGTGCTGCCCCGATTTCCCAATGCCAGGCTGCCCCACACGCCAACTCCTGCTTCCTCAGAGCTCCCACTGCTCCTCCCTGCTTGGGCAAGAAGCCTCCCACCATGGGCCAGCACGAGGCAAGGAGGGGGGGACAGTTTCCTCGCCCACCAGGTGCCACCTTGGGTGGGTTCCTCGCCCACCGGGTGAGGGATGGGTGCTCTGGGGGGTGTCTTAAACCCTCTGTGCTCTCCCCCAGGGCTGGTGCTGACAGGGAGGGTTCCTCAGAGCTGCTCCTGCTCGGGAGGCAGATAAGCCACAGTCGGGTCTATATTTAGACTTGCTTAGTTCTGCAGAACGTGCCGTGTCCTTGAGCTCACCTGGGCGTCCCCAGAGGGGACAGCGAGTCCTGGCTGCCACGTGGTGCCCTGGGAAACACCAGCTGGGGAGTGCCTGCCTCCTTCCACGTGCCCCTTGTGCCCCCTTGGCCTGGAGGTTTGGTTCAGCTCAGGGTTATTTTTTGCCAGGTGAAGAGATTTTTGTTGTTGTTTCCGTAGCCCGGCTTAGGCTGAACGTGAAGTTGCTGCCCAGTTCCCAGCCCTGAGCTTAAATCTCTGGTTTGGGAGCTCTTCCCTGAGGAGGAGAACCTTCCTCAACACGGTTCTCCTGGTGTGTTGCTTTCCTTCCCTGTTTTCTCCTGGCACTGTGGTGCAGGCAGCTCCTGTCCCCATCTCTGCCTGTGCTCCAAGGAGAGTCCATCCCTTCCTGAGCTTCTGCACTGCCTGCTTGGACACTCAGGGAATTCCATGGCCTGGTCAGTGTTGGACAGAGGAGCAGAAACCTGGGTTTGTGTTCTGCTGCTGCCCAGGGTGGCCTCTAGCACCGTCCTCCTTGTTGCACATAAAGGACAGGGCACAAAAATCGATGTTTTGGCCCCGTTTGATGCTTGAACTATGGACTCTCAGGATGGACCTGGGGTCTGTACCAGGCTCTTGCACACCCAGGGGCTCCTGTGGTGCCAGAAATGCTTCCTGCTGCTCATTTCACCTGTCACAGGTGGTGGAACTTCAAACCACTGAAGGCCCTTGTGACAAAGTGTCTGTGGCCGGTTGTGTGACCTCGGCTGCACAAACTTATGGGAGAGGATGGGAGGTGGGATCTGAGGGATTTGGGTGCCCAAATCCAAGGGTGATGTGAGACCCACTGGTAGGAAGGGGTGAGCAGGTCAGGGTTGGTGCTTTGCAGCCTCCTCTGCTCGCAGACCCCTGAGTCAGAGCACGGAAAACACCTTTTCTGTGTCTTTCTGCAGCCCAGGCTGAGCACTGTGTGCTGCAGGGCTGGAGTGAGATTGCTGCAGGGCTGGAGTGGGATTGCTGCAGGGCTGGACTGGGATTGCTGCAGGGCTGGACTGG